AGAGCGTCTTGTCCTTGAGCTCCACGCCAAGTGGGGAAACAGGTCTGAAAATTTAGAAAACATTCAAATTCATTAACCACTTGTGATACAATATTACAATTTTCCCTGAGGAAGAAAAAAAAACGCTTTCTTTCATACGCAGATGGTCGAAAATCGCCCGGAAATTACCGGGACGAACAGATAATGAGATAAAGAATTACTGGAGGACTCATATGAGGAAAAAGGCTCAAGAGAAGAAGCGTTCCACATCCCCAACTTCCTCATCGTCCAACTGTTGCTCATCAACAGTCACATCTGCTAATACTCAAGACTCGTTGCTGTCTCCGGACTCTGGAAAGGCCAGCTTTTACGACACTGGAGGTTTCGATGGAAAGCTGAATCAAGGAGTGGAAGGCTGTGAAGAGGGATACTCTATGGATGACATATGGAAGGAAATTGACCAGTCTGAAGCAAACACCATTAAACCGGTACGAGACTTCTACGCTGAACAAAGTTGGTTCTTCAATTGCCTTCCTCTGGCTTCTCCGGCATGGGAGAGCCCCTTGGATTCTATATGGAACACGGAAGCAGATGAAAGTAAGATGTCCATTGCCATTGACCAGTTCCCTCTCTGTCCTGAATACGGTAGATCATCATCATCATCATTAGCAAGCTAGTTAGGATTCTATTCATTTAAAAATTTGTTTATAGATGAAGTGTATATATATGTAACAACTGCAATAGTTTCCATACCATACATCAAAAAACCCACTGTATAACCATCTCATCTGCAGTCAGCCTAGATGTCTGTGTTTGCTCTGATATGTTTACTTTCAAGTGTGAATGGAAAGAAGCCCTATCTAGCTCTCTGTTTGACAAAAGAGACGATACATATGTTCATGAATACAAATGTCTGATGCAAATTGGACTTCCAATGCTCAATTTAATCCAGGGTTCTCATCAGTTTTTGAAGTTCTTGGTATGATACTGACAGTTTCATAGAGCAACCCGGTGGATGAGACCCATAAGACCCAGAGAGGAAAAGATCAGTTTTACATTCTAGTAACGTGATACGACTGACCAAGGCATATTCATCTCCTAATAATCAAAGAGAATAGGTTTGACTATTAAAGCCTATCCAAGTGGGAAACGAACTTTGTGAAAATAAAAAGAATGTATTCTTCTGCTTTTTCTATCTTATTGATCGTTGTTATGTGCTTACCATTTAAGTAATTGCTCCGAGATATTGTTTTCATGAAAGCTCTTTATAGTAAGCAATCTTTTTTCTTCTTTTCTATAAGCCACTAGGAGTCTCCAGCTTCAGCTTTCCCGCTAAACAAATAGTTCAGTTTTCCACCGAAAAAGAAAAAAGGAGGACAACTTGGGAGCAATGGCTGCTAGAAAGCAAGCAAGCAAGCAAGCAATTATTTGGCGGAAGAGTGGTCCAATGATAGAAAGCCGGAACAAACACAAGAAGCAAATTAGAACAAGAAACTTGAAATAATTTGCTGATTGATTCTGACCCACAGTCTTTTCCGATCTTTCTTTATTCAATACTTCCGCGCGTTAAGCAGAATTTCGCCCACGACATTTACCCACTTGGTGATTAGAGAAGAAAGGGAAATCTTTCTTCACGGAGTTTACCCAACCAAGAACAAGAAAGAAATGGTAGAGACAAAAAAAATAGGAGATGAACACACTACACAGTACACAGATTCTTTCAACTGTTTAAGTGGAAAAAAACAGTGGCCATCGTTGAACAAAGCAATCTATAAAAAGAAAAGAAAAGAAAACCTCAACAAAGAAAACCAGAATAATCCAGACATAGCTCGATCAACGTGTAAAATCAAACAGTAAAACAGACTCGATTTAGCTCAAAATGAGGGGCGTAACGTCTGATTTCACATACGTGAAAGGGATTAAGGAAAATCTGGGCCTGATTTTTGAATTGCCAATCCAAAATCCGGTTTCCAATGCAATCCACAGACAGCATATCAGGAAGAACGAGGGGGAGGAAATTGATCGATGATTAGAATTTTGTACACAGAATACGAAACTGAAAAAGAGCCAGAGAAGGATCCCTAGGACTTACCGGTATCGGAACGCCATTAGAAATCAATTGCGAAGCAATCTCGATATGCTATGACACAAAAATTACATACAAATTCAATAATACGAAGCTTAGATGTCGAGGAAAAGTATATAAACAAGACGAGAAAGCGAAATCTCACGGAGTGCAGATGCAAATCAATTCTCTGCCCGTTCTCTCTTCATCGTACCGAGACGGAATCGACTGCTAGGATTTCATCGCAGAACCCGATCGAGGTCATAAATCGGTAAAATTCGGGGGCTGTTTCTTGTCATCCGGTGTTTGGATGCCAAGAAAACAGAGGAAACCGAGAGGAAAACATCTTCTTCTTCTTTTTCAGATAGTACGCGAAACGATGATCGAGAACGAGACGGCGAAGGCTTAAGGCGATCCTGTGGTCGCCGAATCGCACGCAAAACGACATCGTTTATAGCTACAGACGAGCATTTAAATTTGTTTTTAATGCGCGACTGTTTTCGCGGGCAAAAAAAAAAACAAAAGGAATCGCCGTAAAAACGGAATTCCCAAAAAATTCGTACAATTAACTTTTAAAATTTTTATGAAGTTTAAATTTAAAAAAAAAAAGTTATTCAAAATTTGAATTTTTAACAAAATTCGTATCGAACCGAATTAATTTTGACACATAAACAGAAAGCATTTACATGGTACTTACATGATATCTGCTAATTAACAATATAGGATATACATCAGATTAATAATAAAAAATTATAAAACAATTGTTAAAAAAATATAAAAAATTATTAAAAATTATAAAAAAATTGTAAAATTGTAAAAAAATTATAAAAAATTGCAAATATTGTAAAAATTATAAAAAAAATATAAAGAAATTGTAAAACAATTGTAAAAAATTGCAAATATTGTAAAAATTGTAAAACAAATTGTAAAAAAATATAAAAATTGCAAAAAAATTTAAAAAATTGTTTTACAATTTTTTACAATTTTTTCACAATTATTATAATTTTTACAATTTTTAAAATTTGTTTACAATTTTTTATAATTGTTTTACAATTTTTACTATTAATCCGATGTGTATCCTACGTGGCCAGTTAGTAGATATCACGTAAGCGCCATGTAAACGCTTTCTGTCTACGTGTCAAAATTAATTCGGTTTTGATGAAGATTTTGTTAAAAATTCAAATTCTGAATGAGAAAAAATTTAAAATTCAGTATGAATATGAGAATCTTATAAGTACGTGATGAATCTGCTAGTTATCTCTAAATTGGATGCTTTTTTTGGAAATTTTCTGTGATGCCCGAATCCTAAATCCCGTAAGCAGGATGCGACACATGGACAAAATACAAAACTCACATATAAAATAAAACACAGGATTTTTAAAACATTTTAAATGTCAATATACGCCGTGGGAAAACACCATTACTATAAACACTTGGATATGAGTACATGTCCAAAACACAATTTAAAAACATCGAAAGTATGGGATCATAGTCTGAAACCCTGTACATTTGGTGAAGTCTCAATAGTCGTCAGCCGTGATGCTACTCGTATTCCTCGGTATCTGAAAAAAAATTCAACAACGGACGACTAAGTATAATGCTTCTGAGCGCTCGGATTGAGCTCGGAGAGCCCATTGAAGAACGATGCCAACTAGTATTTCAACACAAGAATTCATGTATTTTCACTTATCCATTTATTTTTAAGTTCATGCAACGATCCATTTTAATCCGTTGCATTTCCATTTATTATTCCATGCATTATCGATATCATCTAGTACTAGAGGTGGGCGAACGGTTCGGTCCGGGTTATTCGGTCACGGTTAATTCGGGTTCGGTTAATTGGGGTTATGAAAATTCATAACCAAACGGTTATATAATTTTATTCGGTTCGGTTCGGTCGGATTTTACCTATTTAAAATAATAACCAAAATATACCCAAACAAAGGTTCAGTTCAGTTCGGTTATAATATTAAAAATATGTTTCAACTCATTCATAATAGAGAATAATCATATAATATAAAAAAATATATATCATAATCCTCTTAATATAAAAAACAACAAAATCTTCATTCATATCATCCTTTGATATAATAAAAATCCAAATAAAAAAACTCCATAGGTAAATCTTCTCACGATCAAATATTCATATCGTCAACCTTAAAAATAATAGAATATTGATTAAACACTTGAAATTTATTATAATAAATATAAAACTACTTTCAAGATAAAAAAAAATACCATAATCGACTTCATCTTCTTACCCAATACACAAATCACTGTGTCCCGATAATTTTCAAATTCTATAGAAATAAAGAACAATCATTAGGTTATAAAATCAGATATTAGTGACAAATATTTTTATGAAACAAATTAACAATATTAAACAAATACCTTCAGCCAATGCAAACATAAAGTCATCTTCACCGATCATATCATCGAAGTTACGCTTTTCATCAGAAACAAGTGGAAACATCAACCAATTTTGCCCAAGAATCAATGCCTCAACCATATCAGGAGTTAAACAACTGCGATATTGGTCTAGAATACGACAACCTGTACTAAACCGGACTCCGATGAAACAGTAGAGACCGGAAATGCTAATAAATCTCCCGCCATTTCCGCTAAGATTGGAAATTTACTATTAGCCATCTTCCACCATGACAAAACATCAAACTTCAAACCTAAATTATTAGGTTTCACCACTTCAACTTTTTCCATCAAATAAATATCCAACTCATTCGGTGAGTCCTCAACAACTCATTTATCCATCATCATTTGACTAAATGAAGCAAACGGATCATCATCTTGTCCAAAAACCATGTCGATATCAACGTCATGCTTGACAATTCTGATGACTCCTTATTACTTCCTCCTCCCCCTTCTCCATTTGGTGTTTTATAACTATACCACTCATAATAGGAGTCAAACAATCTATACAACACAACAAGAACATTATTCTTCATCTCAACACTTTTAACACTATCTTTCCCATATATCTTGTCAAAACAATGAGTTACAAAGCTCATCTTACTTCTCGGATCAAACACTGATGCAACAATCAACAACTTATTGATCTTTTCGGTTCCCTCCCAATACTTGTCAAACTTGAATTTCATGCTCTTTGCCATCTTGCTCATTTCGTGATCGAGAGTGTTCACCAACGATGATAGAACCGATTCAACCTTTATGATCTCATTTTAACAACTACTAGAAGTTGCTGGGTGACACGGGATCCTAGACCGCCAGTTCAAAACCGTGCTAGGATCTGGTCCGCAGGCTTACGCAGCGGAATTGGCGTTCAAAAACGTTTTGAACCGCCCACAGACCAATCTATTCCGATGAAGAACTTTCTTGGAGAAAAACTAACCTTTGATTCACAATCTTGATGCGGTTAGATGATCACAGACTAGGTGTTAAATGAGCCAACACCCTCTTGAGTAGTCCACACCCCTGGGATGGTTTCCAATGCTTGGAAACTAGCTTGTTAGAGCTTAAAGAGATCATATCTCTTGTTTTGGATCAAGAACACTCTCAAGAGCTTGAGAGAGTTTCTACAGATCGACTTTAGCTCTTCTGAAGGCCAAGGGACGAGATAAGGCGAGCCAAACTTTCCCCACCTGCTTCCCACTCGAGAAAAGGCGAGAAAAAATCAGTTTGGAGTTTCTGACGCTTGGTCCGCCGGACCAGGTGTGTAAAACTCGAAGAATTGACAAGTCAGAGGCTTGATCCGGAGCTGACCAACTCTTGTCTGATTTGACGGATAGCTTATCAGAAGCCTGACGTTTCACGTAAACGTCACATCCCCAAATCTTCAAGAAAGACAAACTGAGACGCTTCCCAGTCCATATCTCATATGGAGTCTTCTGAACCATTTTCGTTGGACTCCTATTCAGTTTGAAAGCAGCAGTCTCTAAGGCGTAGCCCCAGAAAGACTTTAGAAAATCAGCCTGACTCATCATAGACCGTACCATATCTAATAGGGTGCGGTTCCTCCGTTCAGACACGTCATTCCACTGTGGCGTTCCTGGAGGGGTCAACTGTGAAACAATTCCACAGTCTACCAGATAGCCAGTGAACTCTTGGCTCATATATTCGCCACCGCGATCCGATCGCAATGACTTAATAGTCTTGTCAAGCTGGTTTTGTACTTCATTTCTCAAAGCTGAAGACGACATCAGAAACGTTGAATTTCAACGTGTCGTACAATCCAAAACAACACTTCCTCTACTAAAATTGTTACTTCTAACTCGACTTTTGAATGTTTGCAGTCTTGAATCAGATGGTCTGACATACTTAACAACATTACGAATAACAACCACAAAATCACCCATATCCGACAAGCCCTCTTTAACAATCAATTAAGAATATGTGCTCCACACCGCATATGTATAAACTCACCATTCAATACAAGGGTATCGTGACTCCAAGTCTGCAATTTATTCTTTAAAAGCTTCAGAGCACTATTATTCGCACTAACACTATCAACGGTAATAGGAATACCTTCTCGATACCCCATTGCATCAAACATTTAACAAATTCTCTAGCAATTGTCTCTCCTTTATGATTCGAAATAGGGCTGAAAGAATCTTTCTATGCAAACGCCAATTCTTATCGATAAAGTGCCCGGTGATAACCATGTAACTCATGGTTGTGATGGAAGTCTAAATATCGGTAGTAAAGGAAACTCTTTGCTTGTTCTCATTCATCAAATTCTTCAAAGAAACTTTCTCGTTCAAGAAGAACTCGGTAGTAAAGGAAACTCTTTGCTTGTTCTCATTCATCAAATTCTTCAAAGAAACTTTCTCGTTCAAGAAGAACTCATAAACATCTCTTGTTACTGTTCTTCTTGAAGGAATCGCGAATGAAGGGCACATGGCATTGTAGAAACATCTAAATCCCAAAGACTTAACAACTGTAAAAGGATATTAATCCATTATAATCATCTGTACAAGTGCTCTTCTGCAACCCTCTTGACTAAAACCAACAACAACAAGTTTAGTTTCTCCTCCGCCAGACTCATCTTTCTGCAAAGTTTTCTGGAATCCGATTTCCTTACAATCCTTATACTTCTTGCAAGTATTCCAAATATGACTTCTTAAACTACTACTACCGACTGCTGAAGACCCATTCAATATAACACCACAATAATTGTAAGAACATTTCTGTGGGTTATCCGCAAGCTTAGTGAAATGATTCCATACCTCTGATCTCACAGGAACGATTCTCTTTGATTTCGGAGGTGCATCAGGATTTGAGGATGGTTCTTTCCTCTTATCTCCAACCGTTTCTACAACATTAGCCAATTCTGAGTTTGAACCATCCATCTGTCAAAACGAAGAATAATCAGAATTCAAAACATTCAGTAAACTTAAAATCAGACAACATTCAACCTAAAAAAGAAAACAGCCCACGACAATCACAGAAGATAAAAGGCAGAAGA